GGTTGATAAAAATTACCCAAAAGGCTATTTAAAGGCCAACTTTGTTTAGATTCTACAGTTAAGATGAAATAAAACAAAAACAATGAAACCAAATTAGCCAGTTTAAAACAAAAACCCTAAATTTTCTAAGAGAAATTATATTATTCTGTCATAGATTTGGTTTACATAACTTCCCTTTAAATCTACACACACCATTCTACTGACTATCACTCTAGAGAACAAAACTAATTAAAGAAAACAATCCCCCTTTCTCCCATTACTCTGCCCTTCATAAGCATCTTTTTCTTTCCCGTATTCAGGCCATCAATTTTCAGTCAACTATCATATCTCATTATCTCTATCCCAGACAAGCCATTCCCTTGACTATAAGTTTGAAGTTCCTCATTGCGATATAATAGCGAATAATGTAACAGTTGCGGATTTGAGCAATTTTGATTCTATAAAGTTAATTTAATATTTGTTTACATTACAGCACATATATGTGCTGTTAATTTATTTGGTCAATGAGATGCTAAAAACATAATCAAGTTAAGTGCACATTTTCGTTTTATATAGCCTATATATATATGGAGTTTAAGAATTAATATTGGATTACCCAGCCAAAATGTGTAAAATGCATTACAAAAACTTTAATTTTATTAGATATAACTATAAGCATTTAAAAATAGAGCACCATTAGACATTTCTTTCACCCCCTGGGAGACAATCAATACTCATAATATACACCACAAACACTAATCTGTACTGGTATACGGTTCATATTGCTACTTAATAGGACACATTGAGTAGATGGAGAAAAAAGAGAGGAGTTGAGTGAAAGAGATTGAAGAGAGTGATGGATAACAATGACTGATCTCTGTAACAGAACTCCACGTCTTGCTCAGAACATCCTATGACATCAGCATATCATGCACAAACTTTAGAGCCGACAGCCCTTACTGTTGGATTAAACCAAAGACCCTTTAAGGCCTGGGTCATTCTCAATACAGCCTCTACAAATAGGATGTTTGATTGTTTAAATTGAAACACAAACCTTTTACACAGCATATTTAGCATTGCAAGGATGGCAAGATTTAGATGGTTACCTTTGGCTTTTAGCCCATGCCGGTAGATGCTTTTACATTATCATCAAAATAATAACGGCCATTCATAAATTATTTTGATTGGATGTTGCAAGTACTTGATGTTGTGCACCATTTGTGAGACATGCAGCCATTGTTGACCAATTGTCTCACAATTTATTTTTTATGGAACTGAGCCGGGTCACACACAAGAAACTACATGTGAGGAACTGCAGTTGAGATGAATGGAAATGCTTAGGAATATACTTTATTTCAATACAGCCAAAACCTAATGAAGCCGTTTTCGTTTACATATTGTTTCTGTTTCTGGAACGAGTGTGAAACAGTGACTGAAATGCAATCCATTAAGACAACATGTTAATCAGCAGTTACTTCCAATCTACATTTCTGAATCCAAATTTTTTTTTATCACAGCTAAAATCCTGTCAAAATCATCATACACAAGTTAAAGATAACTTATTTTTTTTTATCCCACACAGCCTTCATATAGTCTCTTCTATTGAAAATTGCTAAGGTATGTCCAAAAACTTGCCAGATTGGTTGCTTCTTGTTGCTTTTTGTTTGTTGAAAAAAGTTGCTAAAGGGGTATGTAAAGTCACTAAATTTAGCATCAAAGTCCCTAAGTGGGAGTCACTGACAGCAACCCTTACAAAAATAAGTATACTTCAAGTTCATTTTACTTGAGTAAAGTTCAAGTATATTTTAAATATACTTTATTTAGTCATTCAATTCAATCCAATTCACATTTATTTGTATATCGCTTTTTACAATAAACATCGTTTCAAAGGAGCTTTACAGAAAATGCATTTTAGTGTCTTTTTTGTTTTTTTGCATTTTTGTCAAAGACTACGTCCAAAAAGGATTTAGAAGGAGGAAAAGAGGGCAAGCAGTCAACTAGATTCGAAGTTTATTCATGTGTACACAAAAATTCTGATACTTAGCTAACATATCTGTTTTCATTATCAATATTTTCAAACAATGTAAGTCTATAAGTCAAGTCACCTTCATTTATATAGTGCTTTTAACAATATAGTTTGTTTCAAAGCAGCTTTTCAGTGATAATAGGAAATTACAGTAACAGAGATTGTTTGATTGTTTCTTTACAGCAGTTCTAGAATAAAGTTATTGTCCAGCTAAAGTTAGTTGCAAAGATCATTAGTTATTAACTTAGGGGCCGCTAACACGACACCGTTCAAACAGAAAACACTCAAAGCACTCTGGCCCGCTCATCCGCACAAAACAGTGCCTGGTGGCTCGAGAACGCAAACCCTGAAATAGATTCCAAGGTGCAAGCCTTGAAATTTTTTGAAAAAAAAAAGGTTATCTCTGCGCAAACCTTAAAAACGCAAACCCACAAAAGCGCAGACGGCGTGCACATGCGCATCACGTGTTTAGTCTATAGGTATGCGCGTTTGAATATATATGTGCGCAGGCGTGTAGTCCTTCTTTACAAACCAACCCTCAACAAACTACTTGTCTGGCCTTAAAAATGTATAATAAAGAATTATTTATCCCTTTTCCGCGTAGCCACGTGAACCGGAATTATCCCGACAAGGTTTTATCTGTACAGAGGTAAGAAAAAAAATTAAGACTAAAACTATGTGAAAGCACTGTAGAAATAATCAGGAACATCCAAGGCACTCTCTTTAGAAAAGTTAAAAAGCCTTTAATACTATGGCTTGGTCATACTCAACACTATTAAAACATTCCGACGCGTTTCGGCATACAAGCCTTCGTCCGGGAGTCACAAGCCATACAAGCCTTCGTCCGGGAGTATGTGAAAGCACTATTTAATAGGATACTCAATCAAAAGAGTAAACACTACGAGCCAAGTATACTTAGAATACTTAATTATACTTTTAAGTATACCTCGATCAAAAGATTGAGGACTGTCAGTATGTCAAGTATACTTAAGTGCAATTTTAAGTACATTTCTGAGAAGGACATAAAGAACATTTCTGAGAAGTACAAAAAATAGAATGAAAGTATACATTCTTATTTTTAGTTTAAAAGAAGAATACTAATAACACACATTGAAAAAATTATTTTTGGTAAGGGAACCGCAAATAAATAGATATTCTCCCTGAAATCAGATGAGTCCTACAGTCATTTAAGAATGTTGCTAATTTTCAATGATGCTGATGATTCTGTTCAGGGGTTTGCATGTGAGCTCCTAATCACATTTGTGATGGAGTGACGGTAGAGGAGATAACGCGTTAGAGGAGACATGTGCTCTTAGACTATTTATAGAGCCCAAGTCTTATCCATTCGTGCACAGGAGAAACTGTGTGTACTTTTCATTTAATTAGTAATATTAGTAAGTGCAGGAGCATGTCCATTTGGAGTTTTAATCAACTGTATTGGACAATTGTTTAAGACCAGAACTGATTTAAGAAGCATTTTCACCATTTCACTTCCAACTTCCAAGCCTCAGAATATTCCTGTGTCACCTAAAAGTCTCGGCGCATAATCATTGTCAAAGCTGAATCGTTTCCCTTGCTAAGCAAGTAAAGCCTCTTCTTTCGCAGGCCTGATGGAGTATCAAAAAAAGTATTTCGTGTTAAATACTATGGTGTAGGTGTTTGTAGTAGTAAACAATAGTTGACCTTCTTTCCTTCACAGGACAGAATGTCCGATCCATTTTTTTCCCAACAGGCATGGAAGCAGACCGATCTGATGAACTCTGATAATACATGAATGAGTGTTGTTCATATTGCAATTAACCTCACATTCTATCAATTGCAGAATAAAGTGTCATCAAACCATCAGCAAAACTGTGTCGTTTATCAAAATGATGATTCACCCCTAAGTGGTGCACCTTCTCATAACCTGACGGATGTGCCATGAACACATACATCATACCTCCCCGAGTCCACCGGGAACTCTGCAGAGGATGCATATTAACCACCCGAGTTCATAATATGAAGAAGAGAGTGAAAATGACCTAGTTTAACGGCCTCTGATTCACCTTCACAAGCAGTAAAGGGAAAGGGGAGGGGGGCAAGAAGAATCAGGCCCACCTGCTCAAAAATAATTAATGTAATTCAGCGGCGAAATTCAGTGAGCTCAGCATACTGTTGTGCAGTGTGATTCAAGACTCACACAGTGTAATACATCATAAAGACACTCCAAGCAGGAAACCACATCCCACAAACATCCTGCTGCTGAGGTAAAGCGTATGCTTTTTACAGTGAGATCATCGGATATTGATATAAAAGTCATCGCAGAAAAAAGAAAATATGAAGAATTTCTTTCAGTAAGAATGTAATCAAGATTTGGGGTACCAAATGTAAAAGTTCAAGAATCAGTCATTAAAAATCCCACATCGACTGGGGAAGGGCGTATTCCCCCCCCCCCCAAACTTTACAGGGTTACGGCCCAGAGAACAACGGACATAGCTGAAAGGGTGATTGAAAAGAAAGGGCAAAGTCACCTGATTATTTATTTTAGTAACTTAATGAGATGTATTTACTGCGCTGGAGGTGAAGACGTTTAAGAATGAATTTCGATAGACCAAAATGCACAAGTGGGACTGATGATCACATTCAGTATCGACTGATTTAAGAGGTTTGATGCCAACTTGATTATGCCCTCTTGATATGTACCACATACCGACATGCATGCGTTTACATGATTCGTCTCCCCCTCTATCCCTCTCTTTGACCAGAGGTATGAGAGAGAACCTAGTCCTCCCAGACTGTAGCCTCTCGAGACATTGAAACCCGAGATCTTTTAGGAAATCAAACAGCAACAAGTAACCCGGCTTGTTTAAAAAGTCTCGAGTTGGGCAAGCCATGCAAAAACTGCAGCATTTTGGCAGCCGCCCCATTTGGAAAGCGTAGGACGGTGGGCTTAAGAGTAAACAGCTAAAGAGGGGTACAAGGGTGGGATAGTAGGGAAAGACTACAAGACACTTACCAATCAGAAGTGTGACGACCAGACCTGCGTGGACTACATCGCCGGACCCCGCACACCTGTGCAGGAAGGATCTACCTTGTTTCAACTCCATGTCAGACCGTCTGCCCTCTTGTGTCTGTCTGTCTGTCCCTGGTAGAGTCTTCCGCTGTGTGTCTTGGGCAGGATACTTTAGATCTGAGGGAGACCCAAAATCAATTCAGAAAGACTTTCAGCTGGGGAAGGATTGCGGAGTACCTTCCGGTCCTTAATCTTCCTTTGCAGTATGTCCTGGTGAGGGAGAGAGAAAGAACTAGAGAGCGAGAAATACGAAGGCAGGACCTGATCCGTTGTTCTGATCTTCAGATCAGTGGCTCTCAGTTGCGGCAGTGTCTCGCTGACACACACTCCCTCTCTCACTCAGCGTGGTTGTAGACGCAGGAAAGGCTGCATTCATTCAGCAGCAGCTGCAGCGCAGAGCTCCACTTTCAGTCTGGGGAAGAGACTGTTGGTCTTACCCCTGGAGAGGAGCATATTGAAGGAGGGGTGAAGGGGGGCGGTGTGTGTCTGTAGCCGGCGCAGGAAAGAATAAGCCACTGCAGAGGTACGGGACGAGCGAGAGGGAGAGAGAGAGAGAGAGAGAGAGAGAGAGAGAGAGAGAGAAAGAAGGAGAGAAATAAGGGAGGGCGGGAGAGTGTATGAGGAGGGGATGCGTGTGTGTTGTGGGGGGGTTGTCTTTTAGACTAATCACATATGTGGAGATCATAAAACCTTCAGTGTGTCCCGTTATAGCCAGTGCCTGTGAGACTCTTTCTTTCTGCCCCTTTCTGTTTTTATATCTGCGTACGCTATTATTATTCATTTGCTGCCGCCTTCCGAATTTCATCTCCCTTACTTTTCTGTCTGAGCTTGTTGCATTGCCCACAATAATATTTTATTGCTCAGAGGTTGCTCTTTCAAATCTCAGGAGCAAGGTCAGAAATTAATCACGTTTCGGGGCAAAAATGCCACTAAAAGTGACGCAAATTTTCCAGATATTTAAAACATAGGGGTCAAAAATGTCCCCGTAATGAATTTCCTTTTATTTATCTGTTATATATAATTTTATATATTCCAGTTTTCAGTTTCAAGTTGTATTCTAAGCCTATCTTGTAAAAAGAAGCAGGAGCGGACAAAAGTCTCCATTTAATCTCATTGACATCTAGGAAAAACAATTAAGGAATTACAAAGATTCCCTTAGTGATTTTTCCTTCCTCATATGGACGTCTTTCAGTCTGTTTCTCTCTTTGGAGCTTTGCCAGGTCTGAAGTAAAACCAACCACAAACCACAAACCACCCTACAATGCAGGACTGGGTCAATGATTAAAGTTCCAGGAAGATAAGCTAAATCGAACACTGCCTATAGCTTGACTGAAATACTAAATATGACGTAATGGACACTTGAGAGTCCTGTAGTATCCCAGCTGCACTCATTCAGGATATCAAATATATTATGTGCATAATTTATGATGCCGGTTTAATCTCTGTTTTAATGCATCTAAACAGTTTTGTTTTCCATAGTGGCTATTTTAGCCTTGTAAACACTTGATTGGCTGCTTTGTGCAGATGACGTTTATATCCTGGTCCCCATAATAATAATAATTTAGATTGCATTCATAAATGTTATTTTTATTTATTAAATAACATTCATAAATAAAACAACATTATAAAACAACTTGTAAATTAACACTTTATTTGCTTAGGCCAATGGCTATTGTTTATTTTAGCTAAACAATGATGATTATCTTATGATTAGCAAGACCCTTTTTAAAGCATATCACAAGCTACATGCTAGATATTCCTAGCTTGAGAAAACGTCGAGCTAAGCATTCTGTAGCCTCAGCTTTATACAACACACCCACAGACCGCAGTATTTTCATTGACCCTCTCATGCATATTGCACACAAACATGTCAGAAGCTGGCTAAAATCACTAGCTCTGATTGGCTGAATGCTACGCAAATTCTCCAGGGTGCACATTGTGTTTTAAACATACTTTAAAGTTTGTAAGGTTGGTGCCATAACATATTTGAGAGATAGATGCATGAGGCACTAATTAGATATCCATGAGCAAAACTATATATTGTGTATTGAGTGAAATTGTAAGTACTTATTACATTAGTGCAGACAGAATTTTTGATCTCTGGTGTTAATTTCTTGTTTTATCAGCCATTATTGTATCGTTAATCGTTGCACATGTCATCCACATGTCTTCTAATATGAATTGTTGGTTCTTGTCCACAACGTGATTTGCAAAGTGGAGCAAAGTTTATTTCGATAAAAGGTCTGGCTCCGAGTATAAGCAATCTGAAATGCACTACCCATAGATTATTTGATTATCTGGGTCTCATCCCCCCCATCCCCCAGAATTGTAACAATTGGATTGAACGTCAGATGAGCCAGCAGTGCAGTTGTTAAAATGGAAAGCTTAATACATGGAGGAGTGGACTGGGGCCCTTGTGGTCAGAGTTTTATGGACTATGACACTTGACTTGTCAATTGCTTTGGTCGTTCAATGCAGATGTGGTTTTGACTTGTCGCCTAAAAGCGAAACAACATATCAGTTATGACTCACCTATCAAACTAGTAAGGCATATGACAGCCTCAAATTGTATTTATTTTATTCCATAAGTTCATCATATCAAGCAGTAGTCTGCAAATGTTAGAGCTTGACTTTATTTTGACCACTATACGTATACAGTATATACTTTTATTTTATTTTATTTAAAACCTAACAAACTAATTGTAGTCAAATGTTTTTTTTTTTTTTTTTTTTTTTTTAAAGTGTGCTTGTGATATTTTACTTTAAAATAAATACCTCTTGCTTTGAAATATTATCTGGAATTAAATGAAAAGTCACCAAAAACACAGCAACAAACTGGATTTTATCCTGGCCACAGTAATCCAAAATGGCAAAAAATGGAAAGACAGTCACATCTCACATTTGGAGTTTTCCCCTTCTTTCACCCTTATAATATGCAGGTCTTTTTTGCCATTTTGGATATCTAATAGAATGACGGTATGTCATCCAGGTATGTCTCGCCTACCGCTGCACATTTTACTTACTGAGTGTGTGAGTGTGCCTATGGGGTTGGTTGATGATAATATTATGGAAAATATAAATTTTTGTATATTTTAAAACATTTTAGTGTTTTTTTATTTTATTTGATAACTGTGACTGTGAATCTTTAGCTTTGATCGGGAACATTTGCGGAAGAACGACGTTGTTGCTCGATGCAGATGTGATACCAAAAAAAGAGACAGCAGCTGTTTCACAGACATCTGATCTAAACAGAGATGTTCACACACACACACACACACACACACACACACACACAGATATCTGACTGAAAGAATGTCATCATGTGTGGGCCGTTGTGATTTATAGGAGAGCACTCAATATCAACCCCCTGTGGTCGGACACACACACACGAACACATACTTAGGACAATGTGACCTTGGGAGTCCATATCACAGTATATGTGTGTGTGCTTATGTGAGGGTGGAGATTCAGAGAGAGAGAGAGAGAGAGAGAGAGAGAGAGAGAGCAATTCCCATATTGCAATCTACTGTATAGAACCAGTAAGAATGAGAGAGAGAGAGAGAGAGAGAGAGAGAGAGAGAGGGAGAGAGAGGAGAGAGAGAGAGAGAGAGAGAGAGAGAGAGAGAGAGAGAGAGAGAGAGAGAGAGAGAGAGAGAGAGAGAGAGAGAGAGAGAGAGAGAGAGAGAGAGAGAGAAAGATTGGACAAGAGAGACCCACTCATAGTTGAAGAATGGAGAAAGGCATTAACAAGACAGAGGTTGGAAACACTTTGGAGCAAGAAACACTACCATTGGCGTCGGATTGAGAATGGCCATTCAATAGAAGAGAAAAAGAAAATAATGTTTTATTACCGTGACCTTAATATGGATGGGTAGATTTTACCTGGAAGTCACATACGGGATGCCACACGTCGAATTGTCCTATCAAACTAATGATTTACAAATACTGGAAAGCATCCTGGAGGTGAAACGTTTGTTTATCAATGATAAACAAACGTAATAGCGAAGATGCTGAACTCCCCGGACTGCAACAGCGAGGGGAGCATGATGTTGCAAAACTTCGCCAGACGGGAAAGGCAGAGAGGAATGGGGAGGGGCGGAGGAGAAGAGGTGTGGAGAACAGCAGGAGGAGGGAGAAAGCGAGCCGGAGAGGTAGAGAGTAAGAGAGTCTCTGCATTTCAAGTGCTCAACAGTGACCTTAGAATCTCCTTCTATGTGTTTCGCTCCCAGTCTCTCTCTCTTACTCACTCACTCTGCATTAAAGTACAATGCTGCATTTCTTCATACCTTTAGCATCCCAGGAACAACTACAAGAGTGTCTGCAGGATGATGCAGCCCTCCCTACCTCTGTTTCTCCTTTGCTTCCTCTTTTTCTACAACTTTATGATGCATGGAATGTGATGGGGAGGAGAAGTTTGGACTAATGTGCAGGACAGGCTTCACTTACAGAATTGTACTTTAAAATTTAAGAGCAAAGAATTGTTGTTTGATGGTTCAAAACTGGGTAAGTAAAAGTCATTTTTATCTTGCTGTACTGTGAATAAACGCATCTGAATCTCTTTAAACTATTCACTGATACTAATGTCTGTGTAAATGTTATTTCATTGTTTTTACATTATTATATATTGCAGTGCTTTAAAAAGTTGTGAAGTTGTTTCCTTTAGCCGGGGACACACTTAACAACTGTAAGGCCGATTATAAATGTAATTTGATACTTACGTTACGACTGATCGTGCCCAAACGCTCAGAGTCAGAGACGGTTGCGTTCAGTCTGGGTTCATAGTCGTGTTTAAAATCTGCTCCAGGCGTTGGGAACTGTAAGTGTACGTTTTTTTTCTGTAAGTGTCTTCAGTTCAGTCTTAGAATGTTTCATGTGTCCCCGGCTTTAAGGAACTATTTGTACCTGGTCCGAAACATAGTCAGTAAGGTTGATTCAGTGACGTTGTATCAATTAAATCCGATAACTTAGATGTTACCATGTGAGGCACATTTTTAGGTTTCCTGACAGAACTTATACTGAAGAGACACTTTTACAAATCTTTACACTTACAAAGAGTAACTTACAATTCATGGGGAAATTTAGCATGGTTATAGTATGGTATATATTGTTATTATTATTATACAAACAAATACTAAGAGCTGAAGGTGAGGTTTTGATGTGACAAAGCTTGTCTTGCAAAATATCAGTGTACAAGAGATTGTTTTGCGTATTAAAACTCTCATCAAATAAGAGTTTCTATTGATATTA